AGCCCTAGGGGAAGTGTGTCACTTGTTATAGAGGGGGTCAGCCTGGTCTCATAGACTAGACGTAGCATAGTAAATGTAAATCCGGGACACTCAAATTAGTATAATATGTTACGTTTGGTATGGTTACATAAGACAGAAGGTTACTAACCTTTTCACGTGTGAGTTCCAAATATCTCTAACGGTCACCCCAGCGTGAGTTTTTTTATGCGCGTGATGTCAGAATGCAATCACTGTACCTAAATGTGTTTGTTACGCAACAGGACAGTTAACCCGCGCTGCCCTCAAACCAAGGTACGTTGCCTGCTAATTATCTATAGGCTATGTTTCAAATTGTCAATTTAAAATTATTTTCTAACAAGTTTTATTTTCTAACAACAGCTTGAATTGAGATGTGTTCCGCCTTCACATAAGAAGTAGCCCATTTCACTGTTGCAGACAACTCATGTTTGAGGCTTTACTGAGCCAAACAAACTTCTCTCTTCAACGAGAGCCCAAGCACTTCCCCAGATCAAGTATGAAGACATTGTGCATCTCTTGTCAGAACAGGCCTTGAACAAACTTTTTCCCCCTGGCACATTTTCTGGCTGGCGCCCGCATTGCCTTCATTGTTGTTTTCCTTACTAATAATAACTTTGGACATGTGTGCGTTCCTATCAAAGTAAGTGCCTTATTTTCTGTATAATATAATATGCCATTTGGCAGACGCTTTTATCCAAAGCGACTTACAGTCATGCGTGCATAATATTTTTTTTTTTGGTGTATGGGTGGTCCCGGGGATCAAACCCACTACCTTGGCGTTACAGGCGCCGTTCTCTACCAGCTGAGCTACAGAGGACCACTTCTGTGTATCGTGTTGTTGTTTCTACTGTAGCATACCGTATGTATGGAGCATAATGTATTTACTGTTTTATTCACATGTTTTGACAAATCCTGCATTCCGATTCTTGCATAGATTGTAATGGACACATATGATGTGTTTAAAATACTTTTTTGAAGGTTGTTCTGATTATGATTAGTTAATGCTAAGCTATTTACCAGCTATGTGTGGCGCCATGTTTGTTGACATCATACAATGCATTCTGGTTGTCACAAAGATGTTATAACAAGGGAAAGTTCACTCGACTGACTTATGGGGCTTTCAAGAGAACTGGGAACACTGAAAAATGCGAGGTCAAATCATGACGTCAGTGATCTTCAGGTCGGAAGGTCGGAGCTCTAGAAAGAGGCCTGAGTTCTCGAGTTGGAATTCCGAGTTGGATGATCATTCAAAATGATTTTCCCCAGTCTGAGCTAATTTTTTTCTGAGTTCCCAGTTGTCTTGAACGCACTGAAGTGGAAGTTTGAGATTTCCGAGTTCCCAGTTGTTTTGAATGCGGCATCAGATTGTAACTATGGGTTGCCAGCTCAGACCCCCCTTTCCAGGGGTTTTATTGCTATTTAGCAAATAAACTTCTCCTGTGTTTGCCCCCCATTTATTGATAAATCCCCCATCAAAGCAATATTTCCTGCATCATATCCCCCCATGATACCTTCTCCGATTTCTACCCCCCATGGACTTAAAAAAAATGTTTTCAAATTAAATTAACCCCCCCCCACAAACCCCCCTAAAATGGTTTCATCCTTGTTTAGCTTTCACGCTACGGTTAGGCTAGGCAGTAGGCTTGTATTTGGGGTGATGATCTTTGAGTTGATAAAATTGTATTTGCTTTGTGATTGGTCAAAACGGTAAACGACTTGTCACGTCATGTGCTCCGGTTCTTGTATACACTGTAACAAGTACATCGAAGATTTGTAATATGCTGAAAAATGGCCAAACTAAGTTCATATTTTTCAGTTAATGGGCGCAGCCATCTTTGACTTTGTTTATTTGCGTTTTATAGCGAATGGCATTCTGGGATTAGTGAGTTTTCACTTGTCAAACATAAACATGGCTGCCATCATAAAGAATTTAGCTGCTGTTAGCTTAGCTGACACGCATCTATTTTCTAAACAATATAACTTTTCTCCCTTGTGCTCACCAGAGATGTGGTACATTGTAAACAAGTCTAGCTGTTAGGTCACTAACTTATGTTTAGTTCTTTGTCAGCGCAACCTGTTATTTATACTGGTTTATGGAATGAGTTTGGCTGTGGATGTGTTCCGTGTGATGTTTGGATGATGAAGTTCGCATTTATATTTTACAATGAAAGGTGAAATTGAGGAATACATTTGTGAATACCTTTATTTCCCAGCAGTACAAAACATTGTTTAGATTATTTTCAGACAACAATACTGTTTAGATACGTTTGTTGCATCATACTCCCGAGTGGCGCAGTGGTCTATGCACTGCATCTCAGTGCTTGAGGCGTCACTACAGAACCCCTGGTTCGATTCCAGGCTGTATCACAACCAGTCGTGATTGGGAGTCCCATAGGGCGGCGCACAATTGGTCTGGGTTTGGCCGGTGTAGGCCGTCATTGTAAATAAGAATTTGTTCTTAACTGACTTGCCTAGTTAAATAAAGATAAAATACGTTCTGTTGCTGCTGTTCCAATCACATATTTGTGATGGTACACTGCAGGGACAAGTCAACAATGATGACACATATGTGATCATACTCGTCAAACGGTTAAGGCAAAAACTAAAGTAGGGTGATTGAATATAACGTGAACGTCTAGCAACCCAAAGGTCGCATGTACGAATCTCATCACAGGCAACTTTGCAACTACTTGCTACTTTTCAACTACATTGCATGTTAGCTAACCCTTACCCTAACCTTTACCCCTAACCCCTAGTCTAGCTAACATTAGCCACCTAGTTAACGTTAGCCACTTAGCAAACGTTAGCAACAACTAATTGGAATTTGTAACATATCATACATTTTGTGAATTCATTACAAATTGCAATTCGTAAAATATTGAACAAATTGCAATTCATAACATTTCATATGAAGTGTAATTTGTAACATCCACAAATTAATACATACCATACGAAACATAACATATTACACTAATTGGGGTGTCCCGGATTTGTATTTACTAAGTCTACCCTGGAGTCCGGGTTGGGGGTGGGGGTACAAATGTTTCACCTGTAGGGCATGTTTCTTGGAGGTGGAAGCGGGAAGCCTATCTGCGTTTTGTGTGTGTTTGGGGTGGTTAGGGGATTACTTTAACATGTTACAATAATACAATAAACAGAAAAAATGCAAGTCATATGCAATGCTGGATTAATGACCATCTTGCATGTTTTATGTGGGAAAAAAACACAATACGTTGAGATTAATTAAATTGGACCGGGACTTACCCACACTAGGATATGATTCATATGTAGAATGATAATGCACCTTTTATTTTTCTCGAAGATTTCCAATCTCTAAAATGACATCATCATTATGTCCGTGGGAAGGATAGGGAATATTTACCTTGAGATCCAACCTCTGCTTGTGTTACATGGGAGAAATGTCAAAACACTGGACATGAACAAAGTGGAGGAATATACGCCTCTGGAACATGCTTCCTCTGAAGTACTAAAAATGGATTCTGGGGTCAGGGTGCTTGACACCTCGAAGAAGAACCTCTTCCTTTCAAAATCAAAGAAGAACCTCTTCCTTTCCACATCAAATGTCCATATCCTTTATCTGTTTTCTGAATTAATCCATGCTAAAGATATACTGATGAAAAACATATAGTATATTTGGCTATAAAAAATATATTTGTATAAATACGTTTAGTCCTATTGTACGACTCTCCATTATTTGGCATAGGTGTAGTAAATACACAAATATTGAATTGCCTCTGCCATTAATCAGGGGAGACTAAATCATTTAGAGACAGGATATCCGGGACATAAACTGTGCTTCCATGCTGCGAAAACAAGGCGTCACGTGTAAGTCAAACCCTGAGATCACCGCTATTCTAACCGGGGCAGGAAGCCGGACCAGAGCCTTCCACTGTGGACTAACTCTGTTGCCAGGTGAGCCGTTCCACAATGTTCCACAATGTTTTTCACCATGTATGTATTTTCTTGAGAATATACAAAGATTCAAATAAAATATGTATTATCTATCAAATTATTCACATGGCTGTGAATTGTAGGCCTGTGGAGGATTTGTTAAATGTAAAAATGATCCGATAAATGTTTCTACTATTGTTGTAAAATTAATCTAGGCTGCCACTAATGTCTATACAGTATAGGAATAAGTTATCTATCTTATGGATAAAAAACGGTTTCAACAAATTGGATTATTAATAGACTAAATGGTCTATAACTTCTACAAATGATGCAAATATTGATTCAAATAAACAATGGAAACATTGCACTAATAACTATATGGTTACTTATTACCTAGATGCAATAATATAATAATTTGTGTGATGCAGTATTTCAACAATGAAAAGGTAGGGTCAAGTAATTAAAAACTAAAAAACATTGAGGGAACATACATTTTGGTTCAAAACTTTATTTTTCAAAAGTGCAAAAGTATAAAACAGCTACACATAAAACATTAAAACAGCAACTGTACATTATTTATTATCAGAACATGTATTTATAATCCTCTTCAGGAGCTTTCTCATTTGCAAAAAGAAGGGAACAAAAAATAAAATAGAAACCAGTGTGTGAACAATCATCATCACCATTCAGATGTCATACTATGGCTTCTCAGCTCATACAGTGATACACATTGAACGCCCTTCACACAAAAAGAAAATAACATACTGCATTTGAACCCTCAAATTAAAGAGTTCCCAATGTTCCCACTGACCTTCAATTGTAACAGAATGAAAGAGAGAGAGAGAGACAGAGACAGAGAGAGAGAGCGAGACAGAGACAGAGAGAGAGAGAGAGAGAGAGAGAGAGAGAGAGAGAGAGAGAGAGAGAGAGAGAGAGAGAGAGAGAGAGAGAGAGAGAGAGAGAGAGGACAGAAATAGTGAGAGGAGACAGAAAGAGACATTTGAGGTCAGGTTATGTGCTGTAATAGCTGCAGTAGTAGAGACGCGATAGAGACAGGGAGGACCAGGAGGTTAGGAGTTGTAGTTATAGTAGAACACTGTGCTGGCATCAGAGAGCACAGAGGATATCAGGCTCTCAGGTCCCTGCATGTTGGCCTCATGTGCCCCATAAGACAGGCCTGTCATGTCCCCAGGTCTGGAGGAGTTCAGATACTGCTCAAACTCACTCCGGTCCACCTCCCCTATCAGCTCTGAGGGGTGCATCTGCTCCACCTGGTCTGCTGGGTGGGAGTCAGGGGGAGGGGAGCGCTGTCCTGCCCCATGGCCTGGGTGTCGCTTGGGGTGACTGGGGCTACAGTGCTGGCTGTAGTACATGGCCAGTTGGTTGAAGGAGGGGGGCATGGGGCCAGCCTGGGAGACTTGCTGCTGCTCAGTGGGGGAGGAGTGGTGTCTGTGGAGCATGTGGTTGGTGTGCTGGTTGGAGTGAGGGTCCTGTGGCGGGTACTCTGCCCCCTGGGAGTGGTAGGCGTATGCGGGCATCACGTGGCTCTCCTCCTGAGAGTGGCCAGGGAAGAACATGGAGTCTGATTCCACGGCGTCCAGTGGGGAGGTGTCGGGGGTGGGCAGGCTGTAGGGTTCGTAGGAAGGCCCCCCCGAGGGCCTGGGCGTCGCGGTAGTGGACAAGGGATTGAGGCGACACCTGGTAGCTATGCTCATGGTGGTAACCCAGCCCCAGGCCCTCCTTATACTCCCAGCTGTCCCCAACCAGGGAGGTGCTCTGGTGGTCGGATACACCATGAACCAGGAACCCTGAGTCCAGACGCTTAATCCTCTTCACCTGCTTCCTCCGCCGGGGTCGGTACTTGTAGTTGGGGTGGTCCTGCATGTGCTGGACCCGGAGCCTTTCAGCCTCCTCTACAAAGGGCCGCTTCTCGGACACAGGAAGGGCTTTCCACGACTTCCCTACAGATCAAGAACAGAGTTCACATCAGTTATATGGCGGCATCAGGCATGCGGACTGGTGGTGCTCCAAAATAGCTATTTGCCAATTTAGTAACAACAGGAGAACACTGATTTCATAACATGATAACATCACTATTATTATTGATCAAAAGCAGTAATTGTTGTAATTATTCATTTGGAAATTATATTAGTTACTTACTCTATATTTCAATGGCCAGAGTAAGGGCAGATAGTTTCCATAATGTGCTTTTTCATGTAAATTAGGCCCTACTCAAATACTACAAACCAAAATCACTGAAGTAAGCTTACAATAATATTTATCATATTTCTCAAAGAATAAATTCATTATGCTTTCACGTGACAACACACTGTTTAAAATAACAATAATTCACTAAGCATTTGGTCACTTATTATATAAAAATTAAATACTTGCTCAATAAGAAATTCACATTGGTCTTTATAAATATCATGGAAGTAACAGGCTCACACAATCAATTAAGCCTACTTTTATTGTCTTACCCAACATTTTGCTCAACTCCGCATTGTGCAGGTCCGGATTTTGTTGTGCCAGTCGCTTGCGCTCATCCTTTGCCCACACCATGAACGCATTCATGGGTCGCCGGATCCGCGGCTCAGTCTTTCCACGGTTCTGGTTCCCGGAGCTGGTCGCGCACGACTCGCTCTTCACTTTGGTGTCGCCGAGAGGGCTCAGGGGGTCTCCCCACTGACAGTGTCCCATTCCAGGCATCATGACTGACATCGCGCACCTAGCCTGGGTCTGATCGTCACTGGCGTAACCCGCATCGGGACTACTCATCTCTGTCCTATCGACACCAACCGCAGCAACTCGCCCAAAGAAACGAAAAACAGAAGTGCCACTAGCTGTACAGGTATAAAAATGAATGTTAAGGCAAGAGTAACAATTCCAAACTGAATGGGAAATATCCGTCACTGTTAGATAATAGCCAGGAGCTGACTAAACTAGAGCTGACCAGCTTACCCTGAGGTGGGGATACTATAAGAGCATAGACAACCAATCACAATACGGTGGGAGTGCCCATTAGCCTACTACCCCTGAGGCGTAAAAGGTTTGAAGTAACCGCCTTCCAGCCTTGTTGGGGAGCGCGATACCACCCGTGGAGACGAGCACTGTCCTCTATGCATAATAGGAGCATTGCATTAGGTGCCCAAACACAGTTCAAGATGTAACAGACAGAATATTGCTACTGTGCATTTTGGGATTATGATTCAATTAGAACATCTTGCGTTCGTGAAATAAACGACACAAAATAATTTTGGATACATCATTCTAAAAGGATATAGGAAAATAATGTCCTACACCTATCAAATTGAGCAAATATCAAATAATGAATAGCCTAAAAGTCAACGTTAATGCACACAACAATTTGAATTCAACTAAAATGCTGCTTTGGTGAGAGACACTTTCTCTATTGCTCATGCACAATCACTTTCAAGTCTTATTTTCAAGTTTAAGTTTGAACTCTACCTTAAAGTATAATTTACTCTCACTGTTATTGAGATGTAAGCCTAATACACATTGACTCTCTCATCTGCGTAGGCCTATTGGGATGATGGATTTGGTAACTGGAAGTTCTAAAGCACAGATTTACTCATCATTTTGAGGGTCTGCCAGCGTTCACAGACAATGACTGAGGCTGGATGTAAATGATGTTGATAATAAAAAGCGTTCATAAAAATTGTTATGTGGGATGCTGGTGAATACACATTTGCAAACAGTCGAGATTAAGTAAACACCCATCTATCGGTCTTTGTTGTCTGAAGAGAAGTGCCAGACCCCGGGCCACAGTTAGGGGACACAAGGGCCATATATAGTGGTGATAATTGGTTCTCACTCTTCAAGACCGAACGCCAAGCCTAGGTATGTCTTCTAGTGAAATCTCTTTCAACCATTTCCTCTCACCTATATGTATTTTTTAATCCCTGTCTTTTTTATTTAAAACTCTCATATTCTTTCAGTTTTGAGTTGGGATTGGGTCCAGACACTCTTCATTGTACATCACGCACTGGCACAGTACCAGGGAGAGGTCACTAATACACCAAAGTCTTTCTAATGGCCTGTTGCAGGTGAACTCTGTGAACACTCTCCTCCACACAAGTAACGTGGGTGTATGAGACATAGGCCTAGAGTGTGTAAGTGTATATACTTAGTCTTTTTATTTTATTTTTGCATAAAAATTAGGAATAAAAGAAGTACAACTTTTTGAACAATACAGAAAGTATTTAAAATGTCAGAAAAATCACTTATTTTTAGCTAACCCAGATATGACCATCTTTCCACTGCTCACAAAAATGTTGTGTTAGAACACCATACCTCGCCCCTTGAAGTGTCTACAAGCCTGTATTGAGTCACCGGCCTAGATGAGACAGGACAACAAGGAGAGGTGAGAGACCTACTGTTGATTGAATCAGCTGCAGCCAAACAGCCATGCAGAGTATTAATACACACACAGACCTAACACCATTTTAATGTTTTAATAAGCAGTCGAGAACCAAGCCGTGTCCATAGTGGTCAGGAATAAAAACACCAGCCAGAGACTGCAGGGGTCCTTATCAGTGTCGGCAGGGCTTAACCTGCCAGCTCTGTCCTTTCTTCGTCTGTCCGCAGGCCATTCCCATCATGCGGTGTATATACAGTCAGATACAACATGTCAGGCTTGAGCATTTCCTCTTGCAGGTCAAAGATGGCTGACAGAAATATGAGAGATGCTTATACAACCCCTTCGTGTTCCGTCCCGATGCTAGCAGGGGCTCCAGAGCACACTGGCTGACCCTCTTGAGGGGGGGGGGGGGGGGGGGTCGGGGGGTGTTAGAGGGGTCTTGCTCTGTCCCAGCCCAGGATCTGGTGCTATAATACTGTCATCGTCTATTTTACCGCTGATGACCTGATACGGTTTTCTCCCTCTAGTCCCATGAGACTGGACTGAAACCGCATGAGTTTGAGTGTGTGTGTCCCTTACGTAAAAATCACATTAATTTCACACGTGAACTAATGTGATCACGTGATCTTATGTGAAGCTAATGTGATAATATGTGACCAGATAAAATAATCATATGGTAACATGAAACTACACGTGAAAATATTTGAGCACATGTGAAAACATGATCTCGTGTGAAATAAATGTGATACATGGGGATGCAAAATTTCAAAATGTGATGCCATGAAACTACACCTGACATTTGATGCAATTATACATGTGAGAGTTACATTTTAACTTAAAAGGTGGTGTTGAACTCTATATTTAATACATATCAACATATGGTTTCACATGTGAACAACTGACCTCACATTTTATTTTCAGCTCAACATGTGAAAACAGCTATTTCACATGTGAAATGTGTTTTTTTGTAAGGGAAGCAATCAAATGGTATGGGGGTTTTAAGGTAAGTGGTATGCTGTTCAGCTAAAATAGTTTAAACATCTTTAATCAATATGATTACATTTGATATGATACGACTTTTCAAAATGACCCCACCTGGGATTTGAACTCACAACCTCTGGATTTGGGGAAACTGATCTTTCTGCTGTGCCACAAAGTCTTTGGCATTCTCAGAAGTCTCCTACAGATTCATTACCTATAATACATCTCTGCACTTAGCAAAAGAGTGCCATCTGCACTGCTATTTTAGTTTTCAGTAAATCGGACTATTCACTCATCATTGATTTAATTTAATTATTTCAGCAATTTTAAGGGTTTTCGGTACAGTTGTCTAATGTTGGTGGAGCATATTATGTCATTTTTGTTCCTGTGAAATCTCATGTGAAAAATATTCACATTTGAAATTTAATGTGAAATATCACCACATATGTGAGTGCGTGCAGCCAATTGTGCGTGTGTGAGAGTTTGTGCATGCACCCGCGTGTGTGCATGCCTCTCTCCTGGTGTGCTGGAAAGAAAAATACACTCTTTTGATGGAAGAAGTCATAAAGTCTGGAGTTGCGGCCACATTTCCTCTGCAAGGTGAGGTTCAGATTCCATCCAGAGGAGGGGAGGGGGCAATAAGGGGAGGCGACACGCCCCACGCCCATCCCTCATCCCCCCTCCTCCCGTGTCCCCCACCCCGTGCCTGGGGAGTCTGGAGCTGGGTGGGGGCCTGGGCTCTCGACGCCAGCCTCTGGGCTCTGCGCTCAGGGAGAGGTCACTTGGCTTGCTTACACAATGGCATTATCTCAGTTCCAGCCTCGGCTACTGCAGCGGTGAGCACTTCCTGTCCCTCTGCGAGCACTTCCTGTCCTTGGCATAGCAGCACAAACTGTCCGCCTTCCAAGCGAGTTCTGACACACTGTTGAGCTGCTGGTCGCCAGACTCGCTGTATAAATGTCTGTGGGCGGCTTTCTTGGGAATTGCACAATGCGACTGCAGAGTCCTTTGTGTTGAGTTGCGAGGCAGTGGTGTTAGTTTAAATCACTGGTACGGAAGGCGTATATATGTTAGCACTCAGATCCCCAGACACACACACAGGCTAAAAGAGCCTGAACTTGGTCAAAGCCATAGAAGGGCAAGGGGTTACCAATTGACTTACTACTCAAGTTCAAAGTTGATTGTTAAGTTATTGGAAATGTCTTTAGGTAACCCTAAATCAATAACACATCTGACATGAAAATACATCTGACATGAAAATCTACACAAAATAATGAATGAATAAACAAACGAACAATCTAATGAATGCTAAAACACACATAGTGCAATCACTGACCTATAGGACCTATAGGAAGTGAATACAATAAATGTGTGTGATAATCTGTGTGATTTTATGAGTGTTTAGTCTAGGTCTGATTATGACTTTCTCTAACACCTGTCTGAGGGGGAAATGGAGGGGAGGGAGGGAGAGGTGTTTGAAGGTGGAGGGGGAGGAGTGAAGAGGAGGTTAAGGAGGGTAGCATGTACTGTAACAGGTGTTCCCAGACATACACTATCCACCTCCATCTTCCATCACTATTACCATAAATAGAAATAACAAATGTCTTAAGATGATTAATGTCACTTTATGATTGATAATGAGATACCATCAGACCCTCAACCTCCATTTAAGCAAGCATTTTTCCTATTTTGTTGCCTTACAACCTGGAATTAAAATGGATTTTTTTGGGGGGGGTTTGTATAATTTCATTTACACAACATGCCTACCACTTTGAAGATGCAAAATCATTTTTATTGTGAAACAAACAAGAAATAAGACAAAAAAACACAAAACTTGAGCGTGCATAACTATTCACCCCCCGAAAGTCAATACTTTAAGAGCCACCTTTTGCAGCAATTACAGCTGCAAGTCTCTTGGGGTATGTCTCTATAATGCTTGGCACATCTAGCCACTGGGAATTTTGCCCATTCTTCAAGGCAAAACTGCTCCAGCTCCTTCAAGTTGGATGGGTTCCGCTGGTGTCCAGCAATCTTTAAGTCATACCACAGATTCTCAATTGGATTGAGGTCTGGGCTTTGACTAGGCTATTCCAAGACATTTAAATGTTTCCCCTTAAACCACTTGAGTGTTGCTTTAGCAGTATGCTTAGGGTCATTGTCCTGCTGGAAGGTGAACCTTCGTCCCAGTCTCAAATCTCTGGAAGACTTAAACAGGTTTCCCTCAAGAATTTCCATGTATTTAGCACCATCCATCATTCCTTCAATTCTGACCAGTTTCCCAGTCCTTGCCAATGAAAAACATCCCCACAGCATGATGCTGCCACCACCATGCTTCACTGTGGGGATGGTGACCTCGGGGTGATGAGAAGTGTTGGGTTTGCGCCAGACATAGCGTTTTACTTGATGGCCAAAAAGC